GTCCCCTTGCACATGTGCCTGCATGCTGACTGGGAAATTTTCTAAAAACCCATAAATTAAAATCCTACTTTTTCCTATTATGCTTTTTGCTTTAAAATATTAACATTGTTTGGATGTATAGGAATGAATCCCATGTATCCACAAAACTCACATTTCCCCTTTGATAACCATAGTTCTTAAATTGGGCTTCGTATAAGGTGACCAGAAGACCAAATACATGGAAGATCCTATTCATATAATCAGAGAAATACTGAATAACAGAGCTAGAAGGAAATTCAGAGATGATTTAGTTCAATCCCTTCTTTCTGAAAGAGGTTCAGAGAAGTAGAATGGGAAGTCCCGGGTCATTGACTGGCAAAACCCAAACCAGAAACTGGTCCAATGTACTCTGTTAAAACCATGTAATTGTTACATAAGTATTAGGGAAATCCCCCTCCCCCCTTTTTTTTGGATCACACTCTAAATCTTAGTCTTGAAATGCAGGGGCAAAATTAAGCCAATTATTTTAATGCCATGTCAACACAATACCTTGGACCTGAATATCATGGTGATTGTCTCCTTTGCTTCTCATCTCTTGAAGAGATTTGGCCTAACAAAGAAATTTAATCAGCAAGCCATCTCATCTATTATTTTCTTGTGAGTTCTTGAGTGAATCCCATAACCTTACTCAACTATACCACAAGAACAATAATATTACTTAATTCACAGGGCTATTATAAAAGAGGATGAAGCAGATATAAAATGAAGAAAATTTCCATTTTACATCTAATGTTTATGTCTCTTGGAGGGAACCCCCCCCACACACAAAATTTCCTTTTATAAACCTACATGCAAAAACAGTATTTGTAACCAAGGAACTTTGGGGATCTCTTGCACATTGTTGATTTTACCTTCAGTAGGACTAGCACCTCCAGCACTTTTATTTATATACAGTATCTACACATTGCAACTTTTAAAATTTCATGGGGGCTTTCATTTTTATTCCTCCAAAGTTAAAAATGACTTGTATTATTGCTGTCTGGCTCCCCTAGTTCTGTTAAATCTTTCCTCCAATCACATTCTTGTTTTATGCACTTTGTAACTAACTTCTCCTCCCTCAGATTACTCCATTCTTTGAATTACGGTTCCAAAGAGATTCAGATGCTTCCCCCACAGGTAGTGAGTAACACATTGTTGTGGGGCACGGGGAGGGGGGAGATGTTTGGAGTGATCAAAGTCTTGCAAATCAAGTCATATGTCTCATAAGAGATGGCAATGGCTACAGGTGCCAAGTGCAGATGGATGGCAAGCTCTGGGTGAAGTTGTCGCTATAACGTGGGCTGATTACTTCACTGCCTAACATTGGCTGTGCAGAAATGACTCTTACTTTGCTCACCACAAGACTTAATCACATAACCTGTGTGGGTTCCCAAAGTATGGTCAACAAACCTATGATTTATGTGTGGGTAGGCACATTTGTCTTCCTTTTAAACTGCTAAATTAATCTAAAAAAAAGGTGTCTGGACAACAATGAAAAGAACACCTCTAAGTACTAGAAAAATAAAATGTTGAAAACAGTGATACAAGCACTAACACAAATCTGCCTCCAAGGAAGTCACTGGTATTTCAACTTTACATTCTCTCCAGACCACAAATGGGGGAGAGGGGAAGGGGGAGGTACTCCTACCTTTTACCTCAGGAAGTCAGTAAGATTTTAATAACAGCCAAAAGGAGACCCATTGAAGTCTTTCCTTTTGTAGATATGTTTCCTTGTTGGGAGGCACAAGAAAAGCCATTTCATTACATTATTGTCTTTGGAATTCCAAGGTGACAGTTATAATGGCAGAGTTTCCTGTAGCTAAGCCTTTAATATCAACTGGAAGAACTATGGACTAAGTAAAATGAAGAGAGCCTCACTGACCACACATCCCCTCCAATGTCCATTAGGGTTTAACAGCACACAGAGGCTATAACTAACATGAATCACCCAGATGATGACTGCTATATGGGCCGGCTCACAGTAAGTGTGAAGTTCTTTAATGGTACAAGTGTAAAGGGTTAGCAGATATTATTTGTGTCTCTGTTGTACTGTGTGTGGAGGGGAGCGGTTGGGGAGAAGGAGAGAGAATTTTCTAGTTTCTTTGCAAACACTGGGCTGTGAGAGCAGAAGTTGGCTAGGGAAAGAAGAGCTCAACCACAAAGGGAAAAGGACAGTTAGCTTATGTTTAGTTACAAACTTTAGGTCAATTTTTTATACAACTTTATGCCTTTCATTATAGTATCTGCATGTCATTCAATGTATATGATCAATATTATTACAATTTGTTTAAGTATGTGGATAATGTTGATTATATCACCAAGACAGCAAGCTTCCTGGGAACAAGAGCACATTGGCCTTGATCTTTCCTACATCCTCAGTACCCAGCAAGGTGCCTGGCCCATAGTAAGTGCCCCTAAAATATTAATTGAATAAACAAATGAATATGGGTCTTAATTCATGAAAATACATGTCGTGACATATTTGCCATGTTTGTGTCCTATGCCATGAGCAGGGCTGAATGTGTTACTATAATCTAGCACAGCAAGCAGAACCCCAAAATGTGTCTATCTTTGGCTGGCCCAAGAGCTATGTGCGCAAAATCAAGTATAGAGGCCAGGGAAAGGGAAACTAGCATGAGGAACCTCAGGGTACTCTGAACCCAGGGTGTGCATTTTTGTTGTGCCCTCTCAGATCACTGCTGATCTTTTCTAGGCCCTAGTGTCCTCATTTAAAATTTAGTGAATAACTTTCTTTTCCCTTGCAGTTCTGAAATACTAACAGTTTTGGAAGATATCTGTACCCTGAAATCTTGCCAGAAACAAACCATGGTAAGATCTTCTGCTTACAAAGTACAAAATAATTAAGTTTTAAAACATGAAGTTCAGGCTGGTGTGGCTCAGTGGATTGAGTGCCGGCCTGCGAACCAAAGGGTTGCTGGTTTGATTCCTAGTCAGGGCACACACATAGGTTGCAAGCCAGGTCTCCAGTGTGGGACATTTGAAAGGCAATCACATATTGATGTTCTCTCCTTTTCTTTCTCCCATCCTTCCCCTCTCTCTAAAAAAATAAAGTCTTTTTGAAAACCCATGAAGTTCAGCTCTATTTTAATGAGGATATATTATACAGAGGCCAGAGCGGGAGAGGAGCTTCTTGCTAGATCCAAGCCAATTAATATATTGCCTTCATCCTTTCCTATATCCAGAAGTCAGATTCTCCAGGCCTCTATGGGAAGAACATAATGTTCTTAACCAGAGCTGGCTCTTTGCTTCAGTCTCTAGCTATCACAGGGAGTCTATGATTTACAGTCAGAATGGAAGGAGGCATCACCTCCCAGACTTTTACAGATTTTTTTGGACAAGTAGCAGAGTCACAGAAAACCTAGAATTAGGTAGAAAGCAAAATTCCCCCCCCCCCAGAGAATTCAAAGAGAGCTCCAACTGAGAGCCTTGAAGCAATCACCGTGTAAGAACAGAAGAAAGGAAAGCCACATTTCAAGAAAATAAGCAGACATTTTTCCTTTAAAAAAATTGTAAAGATGACTATTAAGCACTGATTTTACTCCCACCTCTGTACTACTTCCATCTCTCAAGATGTCACTTTTAAAATCAAAAGGTTTTATCCACAAAGCCACCAGTGAGTAAACAGCCTTCACATTCTTACCCTCATACACACAGTAAGATATTTACTCTCTAATAGACAGCAATTGTAAATAAATTTCATTTAATCTGTAAAAATCACAATAAAAATGTTTAACCTCCAAGGCAGAGTTTACAGATGCATCTACGTGCTCTGCCAGCACCAGAAAACACAAGGTCTTGAATAAACTACTTGAATAGGAGGGACATTTTCTCTCCCAAGCATCTCACATTGACCTTCTTAAATACACACACACACACACACACACACACACACAGGAGGATGAAAGGGGAAATCCCAACCCCTCCTACCCCATTCTCTGAACAAATCAGCCAATAAATCTAACGAAGACACAAGAGAAAAGGACAGAAGCCAACAGGTGGAAAAAGGCTTTTTGTTTCCTTAGAAATGCTCTGACACTTGATCTGTGTTCCCGATCTATTTATCTCAGGGTGTCTTTAATAATGGTTATATCATCATGATAGTGATGATCAAGAATAATGATAATCCTTCGACTTTATGACGCCCAACATTTCTAGCTGGAAGATTTCTCCTCGTTTTTTAGACAAAATAATCTGTCCTCTTTCGCCAAATCCCAGGGAGGTAGACATCATCCCCAGTCAGCTCTCTGGATTTTACAGATGGGGAAATTGAGACATGGGGCACCCTTCAACTCCTTTACAATATCCACCCCCCAGAGAAATCCCCAACCAGAAAAGTTTCTGGATTGTCTAGAGGCAGAGTTCTCTTGCTCTCTCTTGCCTGCTATGCCACTCTGCCTCGAAGTGTCAGGGCTGGAGATGAGTACTGGGGTACCTGCGATGAGGACTGGAGTACCTGCCCTTCATAATGAGGCACGCCAGGGCAGTGTGTGGGAAGTCCATACACACGCGCACACACAGACACACAGACACTCGCATACACAAAGCTCCACGCATTCTCTGCAGGTACTTAGCGGAGCACCGGCTGGCCCTGGCACAGCCTGAGGACACACGGTTCCCAGCCCATAAGGCCTCCTTGAGCTCCAGCTGAGGCTGCCCTGAAGGAGGGCTCTGCCCTCCTCTCCCTCTCTTTTAGGCTTCTTTTTTCCCTCCTCACAACCTCCTCCCACCCCTCTCCATCCACCCCTTCTCCCTCACCAACCCAGAGGCATAGATTGTGTTACTGGGGTTCCCTATAAAGAGGGGCCATCCCCAGCCCGGAGCTCCTTGCAGGACTTCCAGGGGCAAGGCGGGAGCTCGCATCGCAGGACCCCAGCGCTCCCGAGCAACGCAGGAATGAGACCCCACTTCCAGGCACGGGAGGACAAGCCTGCCACAGAAGAAGGAATTGTTAGGGCTCTTACCTTTTTTATGAGGAGAAATTCTGGAGAATCATTTCAGAAACTGAGGGGGGAAAGTGAATGAAGACCAAAAAAAGGCCCTTTTCCTGCAATCCCTGGCCTCCTGGTATCAAGACACCAGGACAACATCAAAGCAACTTAGGGGGAACACTTTAGGGGCCTATTGTCTGCTCTGGTCTGATCTGTTTTTCTTCTGACTCCCCCTCTTGCTGCGGTGACACTTGGTACGGCCCAGGCATTCATGCCAAGTAGCTTTCACACATGGAAGCTTGTCTCAAGCAATTGCTGACAAGCCACAAACAAGACATTCTCTCTCCCTTCTCTGCGCCCCCCTTTTCTCCTCCCCCCTCCACCTTTTCCTCCTCCTCCTCCCTTGTCTCCCCTCCTCCTTCTGAAAGCAAACTAAAACTCTCCAGTGACAAGCAGGCTCACAGGCTTGGCCTAGCTGCACACGCAGTGTCTCTCTCTCTCTCTCTCTCTCTCTCTCTCTCTCTCTCTCTCTCTCTCTCTCTCTCTCTCTCCCTCCCTCCCTCTCTCTCTCCCCCTCCCTCCCTCTCTCTCCTCCCACCCTCCCTCTCCCTCTCCCTCTCCCTCTCCCTCTCTGTCTTTCCACCCCCACACCCCAGAGTAGCTCGGCTAGATGCTGCTGCACTGGTGGAGTTAAGAAATGGGGAAAAGCCTAAGCTGAGTTGGGGGCAGGGAGAGGCAGAGGGAGAGCCGGAGAGCCACCTCCTGGGTCCTGGTAAGATGGCAGAAGAGAGGTGAGCCCTTTGGAGAAACAGCAGTGGCCACACACGTGTGCTCACATACACACACTGGGAAGCAGTTGGAGGTCCAGGAAGAGCAGAAAATGACTCCCGTCAGCTTGAGATTGGGGAAGTAGAGAGATAAGAGAACGAGTGGATCTAGTACTGGGGTTTCTGCTGAATGTTTAGGTGGTTTTCTTCATTATAATAAGGAAAAATGTGTTCCCCAAGGATCTAGCCTTTCTTCACTGTATAACTGAGGACAGACCAGAGCTACTTGTTAAAATAAATCTACAAAATGTGTAAATGTTCGAGTAAATGTAACAGAAGATTCAACTTGTACTCAGGATATTTTTTAAGTGTATCTTTAAACATTTTTTTTTAAAGCAGCAATCCTAGAGAGCAGTCGCAAGGAGAGTAGTAACAAGTAGTGTAAACTCTGTGAGCTGTGAAGTGTGATGCTGAAGTTACTGATTGCCAGGCTGCTGGAATTTATGGAGGGGTGGGCATTGAGAGTTGGAGGGGGAAGGGTGAGTCTCTGTGAGCTGTTTTCTAGGAATGGGGTTGGGGGATGGGAATGAGGTAGTATAATGAATATGGCAAGAAGCAAGCAGGAATTTGATTGGTGTGAAGGAGAAGGAAGGTGGGGATGTAAAGCGGGAGAACAGAAAGAGAAAAGTACTGCATTAAGAAGGAAAAAGTAAAATGGAAGCCCAGAGATTGAAACATGCAGAGTGAATGAGATGGCAAAGGCTGGCATACAATGTGAGCAAAAGAAGCACAAACGATGTGTAAATATGCAAATGGCAAGAAATCAGGAGGGTCAATTGAGATCAAAAAGAAAAAAAGGATGATTATGTGACATTCATAATTTCAGCATGTTGTGGGGTCACCATCCTGACAAGGTCTCTGCCCCAGACCAGGATGGTTACCCCTCTAGGAGCAGGATCTGAATGGAAGCTCAGCAACTAACTGGAGCACTAAACGAGTTTTGTATTTTTGCATGAAGCTGGCTTATAATAAATTCTTCAGAATCTTCCTCTACTAAATTTAAGTGATGTGCACACACCTAATTCACTCCTTGGTAGGGGTACAATAGGAATACATTGTGACTTTTTACATTTAATACTAACTAAATGGGTTGTCACTACCTAAAACTTACCACATCCAAGACACATTCTTGTTCTTGTTTCCTTTTCTCCTGAATGTGCTTCTCCATTTTGACTGATCCCTAGAACTGTCTGTCCTGATGATTTCTATTCATGACGATGGTGGTGATAATAATGACAATAAAAACTTTTGATTGAGTACTTACTTGATTCTCGACATTTTCCCAAGTATCTGTACCATGAAATCATTTCTATTAAGACTATCTCCATTTATAGATGATAAAAAATGAGGTATCAAGAAGTTAGATAACTTGCTCAAGGTCACACAGCAAGGTAGAAGTAGAGCTGAAATCAGACTCAGGTTTATGTGATTCCAAAGCCCCAGCTTAATTAATCAATTTTGCCCTCTGACCTGAGTAGCTCAGCTTCTCCATGGCACCCCAAGTCCTGTTAGGCAGAAAGGCACACTGTTTCTTTCTGCACCTCAGGGCTGGGTTTAGATCCTGTCATTGAGCCAGGGGAACTTCTGACCTCCCTTCAACAGGCTATAGACTTACTGTCCTCTTCTAAGTGGTGATGACTCACTATACACAAGGAGGCCTCCCAGGCAAGAATGTACATAAGGTCAACTTAACCTCAATGACTGCACACTTTTCAGGTTGCCAGGCAGTGGATTACAAAGTACAAGAAGGCTTCCCTTTTTTAAAAAAATTTAAAAAGCAAACTAAAACACCCATAAGGTGTTAATGATAATGATGATGATGACAACAGCTAATATTTGTTAAGCACATACATATATTAAACAACACCATAAGATATAAACTATTATTGCTCCCATTTTCCAGATGAAGAAACTGAGGCACAGAGGCTCAGTAATGGTCCACATTCACTTAGTGTGGAAGTTCTGGCTGAGGTATGGCTCCAGATAGCCTGCCTCTCCAGAGACCACTATGGCCACCATATGCTGTCCTGCTTAGGGAGTGAAAAGAGTTGTTCCAGTTATTAGAGTGTAAATCTAAATACTCAGTGAGAGAAAAAGAGAGAGACAATATTAATCCTATCATTTTTACTTGTCTTGTTTAATCATATGATATCTCCCATGAGTAGAAGATGAAAAAGAAAATACATGCCAAGACCCCCCAAACAACTTCAATTTTCCAATTCCTCCACAGTTGCAGAGGACAGAGACTCCCCACTCTGAGTTAGAACATGTTGATAGGAACAACAGGTGAGACTATCTTGCCTCCAGCACTGATGGCTTCTACCTGACAGCTCCAAAGAGAAAAAAGAAAATCCAAGTGGATAAAATGAGCAAGGTCAATGTGTGAGTGTTTCTAAGTTTACTTTTACAAGAATTCTAAATGTTAAGCATGGAGTGTAGAAGACAATGCCCTGGATTCTTGGGCAGACACCTGGATTCTAGTGCCAGTTGGTTGTAGCACTCACTAGTGTGTGAATTGAGCCCTGCTGTCTGAGCCTTGTTTCCTCAATTATAAAAACAGCTAATGACATTAGCTATAGAACCCTCTCCAGCAATGAAATGCTATTGTTCTAAAAATTATCCAATTGATGAGGAAAAGATTAAAAGCCAAGGTAGAAGATTAGATGTGTGTTTGGGTACATGTGTGTTGAAGAGAGTGGTAGCATAAAGAAAGAGAGTAAGAAAAGACCCCCATTGGGCTGGTCTACCCACATTATGGCATACCTCTTCCAAATAACTCTACATAATAGTTATTTTTCACTTTATTTTGTTTCACTGCTAGAATTCCCATCAATTACAAATTCACTTGCATTAGTAATAATCTTTTAAAATGCAATACCTCTAGAAGGTATAAGGAAAATTGCCTCTCATACATTAGTGTGAATTATTTCATAAAGCTACTTTCCTCCAAACACCTCATTCATACCAAATAACCCTTTAGGCTTGAGAGTAAAGTGGAAAGATTAGGGGAAGCAGGCAGACAGTTTTAGAACTTAGAAGACTCTTTGGTGTAACATAGGCCTGATTTGGAGGTTGATTAGAGCAAGAGAAAAATAAGTGGCACTAGTAGATGGCATAAAGCATGAGGGGGTGAGGAAATACTAGAGGCAAATAGTCTGCTTCAAAATCTTATCTGGGGCAAGGCTGGAATTAAAGAAAAAAGGACCCTGGCTTCATCTTCCTCTGCACTCTTTCCCCTCCCTGTTCCCAGTATCTAGCACATGCTCTTGATAGGTTCTTATGGGTCTTTGGAGCTTAAATTTCATTTAAATGATTTTTTTTAAAGAGGGAAAAATACTCAGCTTTCCAAACATCCAACTTAAAATTAAAGTTAAAAAACACAGACCATTCATAATTTTATATCTACGTACCCATATATATTTTAAGTGTGGGGAAAAAAATGTAGGAATCAGACAAAAGAGACTTTTCTCCACATTTCTGGAAGGTAAATTATCTGATATAAAGGAGAGAATCAAGCAGAAAATCAAGAAGCAAGTTTCAAGATTTACCAAAATAAAACAGCAATTTAGAGGCAGGCAAGATTAGAACTCACCAAACTGAAAACAGCCCCCTCTTCTAATAAATTATATAAATAAATTATATAAAATTTATGTATATAAATAAATTATATAAAAGTTATGTATATAAATAAATTATATAAAAACTATGTATATAAATAAATTATATAAGTTATGTATATAAAATTTATTTATATAAATAAATTATATAAAATAATTATATAAAAATAAAGCCACTCTGAAATGATGAAAAGAGATGGTGAAGTTACTGGGTTCTGGAATTAGAAGATCTGAGTTTCCAATATCAGTTTGCTTATAAAGCTAAATGACCTTGGCCAAGTCTTTTAACTTTTTTGAGCCACACTTTTCTGATATTTCCCATGATGTCCTAAAGTATTGCGTTATTATGTTAAGAAACTTTATAAATAATAAAGTGTTAACAAATTTTAGCTAGTACTATGTGATTACATGTCATAAGAATTAAGAACACCAATATATACAAGGTATGCTTTTTATATACATCATTTCATTTAGTCCTCTCAACTCACCCTATAAGAAGAGTTCTACTACAGGGATTATATGGTGTTTATGTACTTTGTCTCTAGAGCCAGGCAAACATGGCATTGAATTATAGGCTGTACTGCTCTGTGACTTTGGACAAATTACTCAACCTTTCTGAGTTCCAATTTCTTCATTTGTACAATGAAGATATTAATAGTACCTTTCTCATGGTATTATTTTGAGGAAAAAATGAGATAATGAATGCATGTGACATAATAAACACAGTGCCCAGCACATAAAAAGTAATCAAGAAATGTTAGATGTCACATTTGTTCTCATTTTAGACTTGGGGAGATGAACTGCTTTGCCCAAGGTCAAACAGCTTATAAATATAAAGGTCCCAAACCTGATTCTGTCTGATGCAGAGCCCCTGCTCTTTACTG